TCGAAGGTCACGCTTCTTCAACAACTGCAAGGTCCGAACAATAGGACTTGCAAGACCAACTTGTAAGAAAGTTGACCTACCCCCTTTCAATCAATAAGTTTGATCAAAAGTTGTATCCTTCAACGTGGTGTGGTACTTGAGGCAAGGAAACCTTCAAGTATTTACACTATAGCTCTTTGGAAGGAGGAGAAGTTTGCTTCTGGATAAGGAGTTTAGAAATCTCTCTTTATCAAGCTTTTTGGGCTAACTGTGAATGAGGTAGCTTTGTTGTGGTTGTTTATCTTATCGTTGTTGTTGTTATCTTCTCCAGTCTTCCAAGGATACTATTTATAGCTGGATTGGATAATCTATCCGTTGAATCAAAATAGACTATCCGTTGCATTTGCTGGCTTCAATTTTGAATGAAGATTGTGATTTGAAGATTCCTCATTGGAATGGGTGTTTGGACATACCCAATTGTTTAAGGAGGGATTCCTTTTTCCACAGAATCCGTCTTCTAGCTATTGTTCAAGAATTCTGGACTGTAGCACTTTACTCTGTTTGTCTTCTAGTGCTTGTATAGGAATTCTGGACATGCTCTTCAATTTTTAGAGGTCCAGACTTTGTCTTCGAGTCATTTGTTCTTGAATCAGCATAATTATCTTCAGTCTAGCCGTTGAAAATCAAGAGATTGATTTTTCCTTACCAACGGGTAGAATTTCTTCATTCAAGACTTAGATAATTTTCTAAGTCTTTTCTCACTTGTCCACTTTTCGAGAATTCCGGTCTTTCTTGAGGCATCCGGTTCTTAGCTGACAAATCCGGAAGAGTCATACTCAGTCTTCCGGGTGAGAAAGAAATCCGCGCTAGTCTTCCGACTTAGCCTTCAGCGGGTTGTAGCGAGACATCCGGTTCTTATGTAGTCTTCCGGATTGGAGGATTTTCGTCTGCTTTGAGAAATCCTTACTTGTCTCTGACATTTCCGATCAAGATATCCAATTTCCAAATTACTGAATTTGATTAAGTCTTCAGGCATCAAACCGCTTAAAGAAATATCACAACTTTATTGGAAATCTCAAGAACTCGGTTTTAACAATATTTCTAAAAAGAAAAATTACATTGAATATTTGGGGAGACCTAAAGTCCCTATTACATTCTAAATACATCATCATCAAAATCTATAATATTTTTCCCAACAACATAGCTTTGGATTAAGCTATTTGTAATCCAAAATTTTTTTTCCAAATTATACACCACAGGTGTACACCTTCATTTTGTAGGTCTGATTCTAGAGTGATGGTTCATTAGACAAAAAATGTTAGTGTATATTTTCTAATCGCACGATACTTTATACCAATGAAAACCATCGAAATGTTAGTACATAATGTAACTTTGGAGTATATTTCGGAGTATATTTTTTTGTGTAAGTGCAATATATTTTGCTTAACTTTTTTAATGTTTAAGATAACTCTTCATTTGCGTGGATCTACTTTTTATTTAGGGCTCGGGATATTTTGGAGAGGTCAAGCGGATAAATATCCCCATTAAGTTCCGATTCAAAAGTCAAAATGTGAAAGTCATTAGAGAACGGAGGCAATGATATTTGAATAAAAAATAGTTTGACATATGAAAAGATAAATAAACATAACTAAAATAAATTAAATATAAATTATTAGAATAAAATTATAAAATTCCCAAAATATAACCCTCTTTTCAATATTTCCAAGCCCACTGGAAGCCTTTAGCAATACCCGCAGCCTCAGCTTGCACCATATCATTTCTAGTTTTATAACCTGAGAAGTCGCTCTCTTGTTTTTTATATGACCGGATACACTACAAAAATATGACTTTTTGTGGTACCAAATTTTACCACAAAACATAAAAAGTTTGCCACAATAACTATTTGTAGCAATTTTGAAATTTGCCACAAAATTTAAACTTTGCCACAAAAATCATAGTTTTTGTGGTAAATTATGATTTGTCACTAACAAAACATTGCCATAAAATCTCATGTTTAGTGGCATATATTAGTTTCCACAGTTTATTATTTGCTACAGAAAATCATATTTAGTAGCAAATTTATGATGCCACAAATTATACTTTGCCAAAAAATTCATGTGTAGTAGAAAATTTTAATTTCTACAATTATTATTTTTTGGTAGACCTAATACTAGTGATGAGAATTATATTATTATTATTATTATTATTATTATTATTATTACTATGATGATGATGATTATTATTATTAATACTATAATTATTTGTATTGTATATACATTTTACATTTTTCAAGGTTACGTTATACATTTTACATGTAATGATTATGCAATCCTATGTAAAAAATTAATATAAACTAATATAAAATACTAAGTTAAAGTCA